ACACACACACACATATATTATGTAAACACGAAGGTTTATTTTGGATGCGATTAATCGATTTTACAACCCTATGCCAATGATATAACATACTGAATCGCTTCATTGTATCAAAGAACATTATATTTAATAGTACTGATCCAAACTGAACCTCTTGAATGCTTTTTTGTCTTCATAAATTGTACTAATTGTACTAACTAGGAAAACATATGGGCAACACTTCATATACATAAGTACTTATAAATCATTTGCAAGCTATTAGCTTATAGTTAATTCATAGTTTATAAATTGTAGTTGTTAGTACATTAATAGGCTATGTACAAATAGGGAGTTCTTCATGCACTGTCACTGTAATTTACAAATTATTATTGTTTAATTAGCTAACAAAGAGTTAAATAATGTGTTTTTATCCTTTGTTTTCTACTCATTGTATCCTAATGCTAACTGATGTATTTTAATGCGATCTCATGAGTAGCTGTATGTATTTTATGAAACATTCATTTACTTTTGTTTGCATTGAGATGAAAACATACAAAATGTACGTATTTACTGTCATTGTACATTTGTTCATATTTTTTTGTAAAAGTGGTGAGGTTTAGGATTGGAAATAAATAAATAAATAAATAAAAAGGTCACAAAACCATCCAATAGTTAATCATTTATAGTAAAGAAACTTTATGTGTAATGTTTATGTGCAAAGTGCACTGATGTATGCCTAATGTATTTGTAAACATTTTAGGAACACTTAGTATTAATGCAATTCATGTCTAATAAAGGTAGGTCATTGCCTTTAATCAAGTATTTTCTGTGACCTAATCTAAAGTGAGAACTATTTACTCCTGATAACCATTAACAACTCCTTTACTCCTGGTGTAAATACTGCACATCAATATGCTTTGTGTTGTTAACAAATGATAATAAAACATTATGTAACTATTTACATATGAGCTAATAAAACAATAATTTGTTAGCTACTGTGACAATAAATAGAGAACTCACTATGTGTGCATATTAACAATGTAGACTATACTTTATAAACTTTGAACTAACAATAAACTATTATTATGATTTATAAGTGCTTTGTTACTGTATACTGTACTTATTATAAAGTGTTACCAACATATACATTTCATTCAAACCATTTTCTATCAAATATAACACAAATATAACAATTAATGTTATGTGACAAAGAATGAAAAATGTGTCTAAAATAAAATCAGTTTTAAAATTTAAAGAGACTCCTGATGCTAATTAAAAAAAAACATGCCACATTTAAAAAGAGTAAAACAAACGTCTCTTTAAACGATTTCCCTTAAGTTTGCTTTTAAAACATTTTAATGCATTACTTGTGTTTCTCAATAGCATATAAACATCAACATGCAGCAATGATCAGTACGTGTGTGTGTGTGTGTGTGTG